CCTAAAATCTGCAAAAAAAATTTTTTTTTGAAGTTACCCCCTCACTAGGATTTTCTCCCGTGTCGTGGAGGCAGTTTACAAACATAAATTGCACGAGGACAAACATCCAGACCCGGGACAATTATTTGTAGGCCATACAAGTACTTGTTCCGTGCGGGATCCGAACCCGCGGCCCCCAGCGCAGTCCAGCCATTGTTTGCTTGTAATTGTTGAGTCTGTACTGCCAATACCGATTATAGATCTTTAAAATGCATATTATACGTATAATTACTTGCTTTCTTTGATAAAAGATACTATAAGCTGTTTAATTTCTCTATATTTGTTTGTTATAAAGGACGACAAAATGTTTCATGCGCCTATTATTTACATAGTATAAGACAACGCAGGATACCAGAGTTCGATTCCTAGTAAGCGATTCTGAATCACTTCTCTTATATGCATTTGATGTTTTCGTTTCCTGTAATGAATGAAGAACGAAAGTTAACAGTTGCATAAAAGTACGTGGGAGCGTGGTCCTACCCCGGTCGAGTCGATCCATTGTTGCTACAACCATAACATAGCCACAGCGTGGCTCTACCACGTAATATACAGAGTACCTTTAGTAAGTTTCAAGTCAATCGTAAAATAAAAGGTATCATACAAACAGTAACACCCTATTTCACCCCCTTAGAGGTAGATTTTCAGAAATCCTTTCTTAACGGATACCTACGTTATAACAGGCAGCTATTATCCAATTTTCAGATTTCTACAAATGCACTCAGGATATTCCATTATATATCTTTATATATAAAAATTACGTGTCACATTGTTTGTCCGCGATGAACTCCTAAACTACAGAACTGATTTCAATGAAATTTCGCACACTGTGTGCAGTTTGGTCCAACTTGAGGGATAGGATAATTTTTATTTCGATAAGTGACCCTCAATATTTTTTATTGGTAATTTAAGGAGTTTTTATAGGATGGATCGTCGGAAAGGGCGGAACAACGTCTGCCTGGCCAGCTAGTATATATATATATATATATATATATATATATATATATATATATATATATATATATATATATATATATATATATATATTATATATATATATATATATATATATATATATATATATGAGCGATAAGGAGCTGAAGATGAAGTATTTTTACATCTTTATTATTTAGCATAGTTCAAATAGGGCCCTAATTTAATTTTTGCCCCGGGGCCCTTGGTTACACAGCTACGCCACTGACCACCGATTGTCTTATCACTAACCTTGACAGTTCAAGTTTAACCATATAAACGTTACATACGTAGGTATTATAATTTCATATTTCTAATACCACGTTTGTTACTAACCTGTTTATTTTGAAATTTTGGGTTTTCCTCGCTCTCAGGAAATCCAATAGCACCTTTATCCATTTTTTGGCCTGTTGTTACGGTTAAACATGTTATATAACATGTTAGAAAAATGCTTACATATGAACACATTATTTTTACAAATAACTGTTTGTAACAAAACAAATATCAAAACTATTCCCGTTCACACAGAATTAAAAAAAAGTAAATATAATATGACTGACTAGATTAGTTTTGTGCGAAAACAAAAAACGAGCGATTATATAAAGAACATGAGAACGACTGCGGAATGATGCTTTGCAATCATGTTTTATAATTTACTATTATGTGCCGACGTATCAGATCAAATTAAGGCGACTTCACTTATGAATGTGAGTTGATTGCTTCGTGGGTGCGTGGTAAATTGACGAACGAGTACGTTCAATTGGGACTTTATTTTTTTACTGCGCAAGTATTTTTTCTACCATAGCTTTAGAACTTATTAGCATCCAGATGCAGAATATTCATTTTAGGGCATAGAAATACTTGTTCAGTGCAGCACCGAAACCTCGGCTTCTGCAGTGCCGCATCCAAACGCTTGGCCACTGCGCTACGGGGTCGTCATTTATGTTTTACTTATAAACTTATATACTGAATTAATTATGAGAAATAAATAAAATTTTATAAAAGTTTATATTCTTACAAAGGGATTGAGTAAAAAGTCGATCAGGATAAGAAATCAATGTATTTTACACTCAGCAATATCTTATTATATCTCTACAATTATTAGGTACAAAAATATATATAAAAACAATAAATAGATACAAAACAATAAATGCACAATTATATAAGTACTTCATTTATTAAAATTATTTATTAAAATTAATTACTTATATAATTTTGCATTGTCTATTTATTGTTTTTATACATATTTTTGTACCTAATAATTGCAGAGATATAATAAGATATTTCTGTGTGTAAAATACATTGATTTCTTATCCTGATCGGCTTTTTACTCAATCCCTTTGTAAGAATATAAACTTTTATAAAAATTTATTTATTTCTCATAATTCATTCAGTATATAACTATGTCTATAAGAATATCGATAAACAATATATCGTTAAACATTATATCGATAAAATTATTCCAAGATATATTTTTACAGCACTATTATAATTCACGTGAATTCACATAATACATTCAAAGAGAATATAATCACTTGAATATATTGTCGGCATTGTGTCATAAATTTAATGTCATGTCTTGATGTAGGTAGGTAGTGTAGCTTGGTAACCTTTCATACATTTACTTTTACTCCTCTGCTTACTACTTTTACTAAGGAGGTCTCGCTTCTTAAGAGTAGTGATTATTTGGTCACCTTCTTGTTTTTGTCAAGTCTACTCAAAAGGGTAAAAAATTAAATTTTAATTAAATGTAAAAGCCGACTTTAATGGCCTAAATATAGTAAAATAATTTCACATTCTTAAGTTAAGGCTTTAACTCATGTCTTAGCACCATAGAGCAACATGACCCACCGGCGGGCAGAAGACGTTTTATTATACGCAGACGTTCCCCTATTTCAAAGTACAAGTCTACAATAAAACTAGTTGCAACCGAACTGCTAAATCGAATCACGCGGTTAAATCGAAGTCCTTCAAAAATGCCGGATTGTGCAGTTACCTTCAGTAATCTTTCATAAATAAGTAATTTTTAATCACTTATTACTATTTACTTCTATTTAAACTCAAAAATTACAGTAATAACGGCCGCGTTGTTTCAAATTTGCTTACAAACACAGGCCGCTCGTCTTCATACAATATGCGGATCGGTCGAGATACCGGTCCGAGTCTGTGTCCGAGTTGTCCATAAACTTGAATATACGTATAAACGACCTGACAAACCGAATACTCGTGACTAATTTTGATTTGTCATTGTGTGCGTCACCTAGTGATGTACATTTTACTTACAAGGACTATCGAAAAGTGATTGTTAAGAAAGCGGTAAAAAGATTTAAAAAAAATAGTTTAGTGCACGAAATTGAATAACTTCAAAAATTAACTAAATTTTTACCATGATAGTTCTACAATAATTAAAAAATATTCATATAACATGTTCCCTCTTGTTGGATTTTAATAAAAATATAAAAAATCCCAGGCTACTCCTAAAACTTAAACTTAAAAAGAACTCCCGAAGAATCAGATCGGAAAATTGTAATTTCGAGTTACGATCTTTGGAGAATAATATTTACTGCCATGGACAATTGTTTCCCCTGATTTTTTTTAATATCTATATCTATACAAATAAATAAAATTAAAGTGTCTGTTTGTAAAGTCAAAATAACAGCTTTTTAGTATATGTATATGAAAATATATAGGGTACTTATAACAGAAACACGATTTTTAAAATTTTTGTCTGTCTGTCTTTCTGTCTGTATGTCTGTCTATCTGTTTGTTCCGGCTAATCTCCGAAACGGCTGGAGCGATTTTAACCGGACTTTCACTGACAGATAGCTGATGTTATAAGAAGTAACTTGGCTACTTTTATTTTAGAAAAGGAATTAGGGTTCCGCGCAAAAAATTATAACCCATGAAATCCAATCGTAATAAATTACGTGCGGGCGAAGTCGCTTGGAACAGCTAGTTGTTAATATAAATATACTTATACTTAATTAAGTATATACCTATTAATATTTTATATATTTTATAAAATGTTTTGATGAGGAAATAAAAAACGGGGACACGGAGTACATAATGGTTGCTTTATTTTTCACATAAGTATTACTTTTGATAACTACAAACATTTAATAATTAATAATTAAATACATTATAGAAGTTTATTTTAACATTCGACTTAAATATGAACTTAATAATTTAATTTAATAAAACTACTTTTACGGATTTTATCGCGTTTAACTACTAATATCAGACATCATTAATTTAAGTAAGGAAATTTGTAGGAATCAGTGAAATAAGATTGCTTTGTTTAAAGGCCAATATGTCTATGAGGCTTCATCATGTTTCATGTATATTATATTCTTTCATCTGTCCCTGAAGGGTATAAGTCCGGCCACATACATATGGAATTCCCTTTCGAGATTCCGTTTTGGAATTCCGAACGGGTCAGCCACATATATACCGAATCCCGTTTAGCCCGCAAAATTTTGAACGGAAAACTACCGTACGTGTATGACCGATCATAGACTTTATATGAACTCGTTGCTTTCGGAATCTCAAATCGGAATTTCGAAACAGGACCCTTAAACGGAATTCCGTATGTATGGAGCAAGCTTTAAGTAATAATAAACTTATTATCATTTTAGCTGCATGAATATTAAAAACAGAGTAAAATGCACCAAGTGTCTGAGGATGCTCTCTCTATTCTCTCAATCTCGGTATGTTAAGAAAATCTTCACTCATTCATGAACTGACCGCAGCAATCTCGCAAATCTATTGATCCGCGCATCTATTACTTAACCACGAGTTCTCTTCTCTACGAATAACGTTATAGGCGATGAACCACGCTATTTAAGCCCTCAGTACAATATCGTAGGTTATCAAGTATGAATCGGGCATCGGGCGTTATGAGTATGAAATACTATAGAATTTACACTATCCTGGCTCATTGTACACCCGGGGTACTCATTGTATATCTAAAATTAAATCTAAAACTATTTACATTAAAATTCTACATCAGAATCATCAGAGTCATCGTCATCCACATGAATTACGATACCTTCTGACAGATGAGATTTCTTCAAGTCTTCCTCTTGGGGTTCTTCTGCATGCTTCACACAATCTTCCCAGTTCTTTTGCGAAACGTTTGAAATTGCTTCATGGAGTAACACTTCGACGTCTGCAATTTAAAAAGTGCTGTTTTTGGTGGCAACTTCATTTTTTGCTTGAGCCCATACCAACTCAATTGGGTTATATTGGCAATGGTAGGGTGGTAAGCGAATCACTTCGTGTCCTGACTCCAAAGCTAACTGATCCAATTTGTATATTTTTTCTGGTCGGTTCCGTTGCACCTGTAAATATAATGTTGTTGGTATATTCAACTAAATAGTTAAAAGAAAACAAATGTATTGCAAACTTTAAATAATGAAATCTAAAATACCTTTTGTAATAGTTCCGGCTTGAGCTCACTATCACTAAACTCAATCCCATATTGGTGGAGCCACTCCTGAATTTCCTTTTTTTTTTTGTTAGCTGATGTCGGTGCCCGATTTATTTGCTGGGAGTGTTAGGGTGCGTTGTCCATTATGATGACTGATGGTTCTTCAAGACTCTACAGCAGCTTTGTAAACCAGTCTGTGAAGCCTTCGGCAGTCATTGCCGAATGGTAGTCCTCGTTCTGAGACTTCACAGCACCGAATACCCATATGGCTTCTCGTATAAAACCATATTTTGCGCAACCTGCATTACAAACTGTGGTAGAACCACCAACTTTTACGGTGGTAGAGCCACGCAGCAGCTTTTGCTGGTGCACGTATGGGCTGGCTCGAGCCGGGTTAGTACCACGACCTCACAGAATACCGGCGTGAAGTGGAAGCTCTGCTTCCGCGTTTCGTCTGGTGAGTGCAGGTGACCGGAGGCCTAATTCCCCCCCCCCCTCCCCATCAACATGGTAGCGGAATTACATCATAGACTACCCCAGGAGGGAACCAGCACCCCTGGAGAATCCCTCGCTGAGCGTCCACGACCATGTTATTCCACTCCTGAGCGTGGGTGCTCAGGCTGCCCCGCGTATTCTGGGAAGGGGGAAAAATTCCGCTCAACACAATAACTGCTCGGGGTAAACTAAGCAACAAGACCAAGGCGACCCCTGCCACGCTATCTGTGAACTTCTGCAACATCAGGGGACTTCACTCGAACCTAAACGCCGTCCACTACCATCTCGAGACGGCGAAGGCGGCCTTGCTCTTTCTGACCGAGACGCAGGTGTCCTCTCCGGCTGATAATTCGTATCTCTCCTACCCGGGATATAAATTGGAGCACTCAGAGTTGACATCTGTTCTCAACGCCTCGGCAGTCTTGAAGGTTCGGACCTGTCCATCCTTTGGCTACGCGTAGATAGCGACGACCATCCGCACGTCTACGGGTGCCTCTATAGTAGACATGGGACGAGTACTCGGTTTGAATTCGGTACTCGGCGGATTCGGCCTTTTTTTAGGGTTCTGTCGAGTACCGAGTATTAACGGCCGAGTACCGAGTACTCGGCCTTAATTATATTCCAGAGAAAAATAAAGACAAAAAGCCAGTTTTTATCATTATTATTATATTAGACACATTAAAACATCAGGAACATGAGAAGCAGCAGAAATATTTAGAACGTACATATGAATCTATAATAGAAATTATTATTACTAATATTTAAAATTTAAGAGAGGAAGATCAATAATTTTTCTTTATGACTTCCGATAAAACGATTTCTATAAGCAGTCATTTTCACGCAAGATAACGAAAACTATCTCTCGAACATGAACTCATATTGTCTCATTTGACAAGTAATCAGTAATTACTCATCAACAGTATCCGTGGGTGTGTGACTGATCGAGTACCGATACAAGTACTTTTCTTTCGATACTACTTGGTACTAAGTTTTAAAGTATCGATAACCAAAGTACTTGGTATAGAAAGAAAAGTATCGAGTAATTACTTGTATTTACTCGTATCGTTCCATCTCTGACTCTGTGTATGGGAAATAACCACACGCCGTCCGCTACCGTGTTTTTTTATAGCCCAGTATTCGGCGGAGTACTCGACCCAATCTAGGCCGAGTACCCGGTGGCCGAGTACTCAGCTAATCACCACTCGTGCCATGTCTACTCTATAGGTCCCATAGCGGTAATGCCGAAACAGACCGACTCATCGACCACGTCCAAATGGCTACAGATTCCTTGCTACAACAGTTCCCATCCGCAGAGATCGTGATACTTGGCGATTTTAACGCCCACCACGCCGAATGGCTCGGTTCGCGTTTGACCGATCATGCGGGGAGATCTGTTTATAACTTTGCCTTGGCATATGGTCTGACACAACTGGTTACATCGCCTACGCGGATTCCAGATGTTGAGCATCATACACCTTTCCTATAGGACCTTCTGCTGACCTCTCATCCGGATGGATATCAAGTTTCCGTCGATGCCCCTCTTGGCTCTTCGGACCATTGTCTGATCCGGAGTGTGGTGCCACTCACGCTCCCCTCGCGGTTGCGTTCTGCAGGTTGCCACCGTGTTTGGCATTACAGGTCGGCGGATTGGGACGGAATGCCGTCTTTCTTTGCTTCCTACCCATGGGGGTGGGTTTGCTGCTCACCGGATAATTCCAGCGCTGTTGCTGACTCTGTTACTGATGTGGTGCTACAGGGAATGGAACTATTTATTCCATCATCTGTGGTAGCCATCGGAGGCAGATCTCAGCAGTGGGTTGGTCACTCCTGTAAGACTGCATTACGCAGTAAGCAGGAGTGTTATCAAGCCTGGGCTGCGGCTTTGGCGACTCGGGATGTAAACATCAGCATACTTAAAAAGAATTATAACTTCGCCTCCAGGTCCTCCAAAAGAGTTATTACCAAGGCAAAGTCGGAGCACATAGGCAGAATTGGCGAGAAACTAGTTTGCCTTCCTTCGGGAACCCGTGCATTCTGGTCTCTCGCCAAGGCTGTCCAAGGGAATTTCTGTAAGCCATCACTACCATCTCTGCACAGGGAGAACGACTCACTGGCCCACGACGCAAAAGAGAAAGCCGACCTTTTAGGCTCCCTTTTTGCGTCCAACTCGATTGTTGATGACGGGGGGATCACACCACCGACCATCCCGCGGTGTGAGTGCTCCATGCCGGATGTGCTGTTCTCACAGCGCTCGGTTCGCAGAGCACTCCTCTCCCTGGACATCCACAAGTCGAGTGGGCCTGACGGAATCCCCCCAATTGTGCTGAGGACGTGTGCTCCGGAGTTGGCACCGGTTCTAACGCGTCTTTTCCGGTACTCCTACTCCCTAGGCGTAGTCCCAAATTCATGGAAGACAGCTTTTGTCCACCCGATCCCTAAAAAGGGCGACCGCTCAGACCCGTCCAACTACAGGCCTATCGCCATCGCCCCCTTGTTCTCCAAAATAATGGAATCCGTTATAAACTGCCAGCTCATACGGTACCTTGAGGATCACCAGCTGATTAGTGACCGCCAATACGGTTTCCGTCGGGGTCAATCAGTTGGTGATCTTCTGGTCTACTTAACTCATAGATGGGCGGAGGCGGTATAGTCCAAGTGGGAGGCTTGGCCGTTAGTTTGGACATTGCGAAGGCCTTCGATCGGGTTTGGCACAAAGCGCTTCTTACGAAGCTCCCTTCCTATGGGCTTTCCGAGATATTATGCAATTGGATCACCAGCTTTCTTGCAGATCGGACCATCAAGGTCGTTGTAGACGGTGCATGCTCCGACTACAAGCCTATTAACGCTGGTGTTCCACAAGGCCATGTGCAATAACCAACGCTGTTTCTTCTGCATATCAATGATATGCTGCAAGCCGGTAGCGTTCATTGCTATGCGGATGACAGGACTGGTGATGCTCTATACAACGTAGAAAACGTAGAAAACGTCGCCGAGTACCAGAACAAAGTTGTGTCTGAAGTCGAGTCTTGCTGAACAAAGTCTCGGATTGGGGGCGATTAAGTCTAGTCCAGTTTAATCCTAAAGCTGCGTACGGATAGCGCGTTCCTGTGTTACGCGTAGTTGGGAAACACTGTCCACGCGTACATTGGATACGCGTACAGCTCCTGTACGGACCGCCGCGAACCTGTACGCGAGGTCAATCGATCCAGAGCGCTCCGCGAGCCCCAGTCATTTGCCATGACTCCGACAAATTTAGCGGTTGCGTGCACCACCACTGCTGCGGCGTTAGTCATTATTCAACACATTTTAAATAAAAAAAAGAGAAACAAACGGAAACCTAGATGGTGGATGAAAAAATTGTATCGTGAAAGATTATAGTGTGGAAATAGGCTAATGGAAGATATAAATTATGAAGTTATTTCGATAATCAGTTAGTGTGCTATCCCACAAGACTCGGTGAAATTCATAAAGTTGAATCAATCTGATAATATTTTCATTATTGAAACTCGAAGAACACGCGTGTTTATTCATTTTGCCGTCCAAATATAGCGTAGCCGGCCGCGTGCGTCCTCTTTGACGCGCGACCAAAAACCGACTGACGATGGCTCGCGCTGCGAGTTGGCTCGCGCGGTACGCGTACCCTAAGAGTGAACGCGTAGCAGCAGGTATGGACTAGGCGTTCCGAATACGCGTAAACTGAGTACGCGTACCAGGGTACGCGCAATCCGTACGCACCTTCAGAAGACACAAGTTTGCTCGTTGACCGCTAAAAAGAACCCCTTTGTCGTATCTCCTCAGTTTCAAGGCACTCCCTTGTTGTCTCAGTCAGTATCGGAATCCTCGGCGTCGACATATCGAGTGACGTGCAGTTTCATGGTCACTTGGAAGAGAATGCCAAATTGGCCTCTAAAAAGCTTGGCGTGCTCAGCAGAGCAGGACAGTATTTCATGCCGGCACAACGCCTGCAACTTTACAAGGTGCAAGTTCGGCCTCACATGGAATACTGTTCCCATCTCTGGGCTGGTGCTCCCCAGTGCCAGCTCCTTCCACTTGACCGCATCCAGCGCAGAGCGGCTCGAATCGTCAACGACCGAGTCCTTCCCGATCGGCTCGACTCATTGGCGCTGCAGAGAGATGTTGCATCTCTTTGCATTTTCTTTCGCATTTACCACGTGGAGTACTCTGAGGAATTGTTCGGATTAATCCCAGCCGCCAAATTTCACGAACGCACATCGCGGCAGAAGTCCCGATACCATCCACACCATCTGAATGATTGGCGGTCCACCACTGTGCGATTTAGAAGATGCTTTCTTCCTCGCACGACTTCCTTGTGGAATAGTTTACCACCAGCGATTTTTCCGGTCCGATACGACTTAGGGACCTTCAAGAAAAGAGCCTACTCCTTTTTAAAAGGCCGGCAACGCATCTGCAATTCCCCTTTTGTTGCGGTTGTTCATGGGCGGCGGTAGTCACTTACCAATAGGTGAGCCGCATGCTCGTTTGCCCCCTCTCCTATAAAAATAAACTGAAACAACATAATTAAATTAATATCATATTTTATATTAAATTATTATTAATTCGTATTTCTTACATAAAAGATGAAAGAATATTTACCAATTAGTCTGCCCCCTTTCCCATTTTTGTGTTTAAGTCGCCTTGTCCATCCTTGTCTAGCCAAATTCGTTTGCGGCTGTGATTTTGGTCCACCCAAGTCTCATCCAAATAAATTCTTGGTCGAGTGTCTTCACTATCTGTCAGGGTCTTGAGTTTTCTCAGGAATTGTAGCCGCGCACAAACGATGTCAGTCCTCTCCATCAATTGTTTACGACCGTCTGGAGCTTGTATGTACTTTATACCCAAGTTCTATGAGTATTTTACGCATAGAACAAATAGAACACTGGAATCCGTCAATTATTTCTTTTGCTGTACTCAAAATTTTAGCCGTGGAAGGATATTCACCGGCGCGATAAAACGATGATTATTTGTTTAATTACACTTTTGTCAAAGTCGTCTAACACAGTTAGTGTACAAGGCCGATAGACGCTTTCTCGTGGAGAGCTAACTTCTCCCTTTATACACTCTTTTTTAATTTTGTCGACCACTCTAACACTCACACCACATATCGCTGCAGCAAGTTTACGAGAATGGCAGAAGTTAACACTTTGTAACTTTTAGGGATCTATTTTCATTTCAGTGAAAAATGTTAAACATTGTTGATAACAACACGTGCTAGTGCTGGTATATTGGTGCCAACAGGCAAAATATTATTTTAAATAAATTCTGCCGTTTTGGTACAAAACAAAGGAGTATCTAGCCATTGTGTCACTAAAGAAATTCAGAGAGCGAAAGTGCAAAAACAAATTTCTCTTCGATATATGTACTAAATTATCATTGCACTAATTTGCAGGTATTAGACGGGGGTAATAATGGATAATAAATTACTCATAACATAACAATAAACCAGCCTTTGTATAACGCACCAACACCGTGAACCTGCCTTCGATGATTCATTTGTTGTTGTCGATAATGGCGTTGCGCCCACGCAACTTGCTCACTGCCCTAGCCGGGTTGAGGCCGAGCTATGATTTATGACCCCAACTGCATGGACCAAATAATTTTTCTATAGTTTGGTTCATAATGGCTTAATTAGGGTAATCTCAAGATGTTTTATCTTTAAAATAATTAATAGAATCAGGCGTTACTTTGCGGAAATCCATTATATAAAAGCTTTTAGAAAAATTTACTTCGCAAATATCCGCGTTATAAAATAAAATGATGTGTCTTACCTAGTATGAAGAGCACCTCCCGCCCTCCCTCAATTGCGTGCACTATCCCCGTAACCACTAATTCCAGCACCGCTACTCCCAACACCACTACACTAGGCAAGACACACAACTGACGATAATACGACACGTGTTTCGCCTCTACACGAGGCATCCTTAGGTGATATAGACTCTACGGTGGCTAAATCTGTCTCTATGTCTATATTATCTATAGTTTTGAAAGTTAAATTTTTGAAGTCTTATTATAACAATATTATACTTACTAATACAAATAATGTAGAAATAGCTCCTTTTAATAAAATTGTTTTTATTCTAGTTTTTATTTTAAACTTCTCAATTAAATGTTTGCTGCAAATTGTGGAGTTTTTTTTTTTTTTTGATTCCATCTAACCCGTCCAAGTAACCTTAACCATTTTTTCTAATTATAGAATCCGGAGGGGATCTGTTTGACAAACGGCAAAATAAAATTACATTTATAGTACACAATACACACATGAGATAAGTCATAAGTTTTTAAAGCGCCCTGTTAAGTTCATGTATTTTAAAATTTGCCTTTGGATTTTAAACGTCGAGACAGTCTTATCTCTCATAAATTCACAGTAGTCAAAAGGAAGAAATCGATTACTGCCAAAAACAGTAGCTGCAATCATCAAAACTATATATAACATAGATATGAAGTGTGACCAATTTTATGATTATTTGTTAACTCAACCACATACTGAAGGAAATTGGTGGGATTGAAAAGTACATTAAAATAAATAAGTTTGTAATATTAGAATTTATTAGATACTATAACTAACTTAAGTTTAAAGAATTTGTTACAAACTAAAGTTTTTTTTTTTATATTTTAATAACTCGTTTGCAAATCGTATAGTTTTATTCAAATACTTTTATTAAAACATATGATTATTATCATTACTTGGTTTTCATTTAACCTATTTTCACTACATATTAATTTAACTATTGCAACTCTATTAAGCCCAAATCAAATAGACAGCAAACCGATAGCTTGGCGAAGCTTTTTATTTTATTATGTATGATATCGTTTGAATCTAGAAACATATAAAAAGCGAAAACGAACCGATGCTTGAATACATAGTATTCATCATTCGCCACGTTTTCGGTTCGGTTCGATTCGCAGTTATGTTTGACAAGACCTTTACTGCGTCCTGTTTTTAAACTGGATTGTCCTGTTTTTTCTAACTACAAATCCTTGTTTTGTTGAATTTGGTGGCAACCCTATTTAGAAAATTGTTAGTTTATTGTTTTAATTTTTATGCATGTTTCATAGTGACAAAATTCTTATAGCTGAAATCTTTATACGCATATGACGTTTAACATGGTACTAATTAAGATATATTATTCTCACCTTATTTATTTCAAGATTGTTGCTGTGCTGTTTGTCAGTATATTCTATGTGTTTTTCGATTCCATAGCATTGAACTATTATGTACTACCATTGAATATATAATAGTACAAGATCAGAAGGAGCACTCTCTGATAGCAAACTTGCGAGTTTAAACCTAGTTACGTCACTAATTTTTAATAATACTTTGCACGCCTAGGACACGACCTTCGTCAAATTAGCCCACAGATAAAAAATTTATTATAGTATTAAATCAAAATGCACCTTACGTCCACGTGTGAAAGTCTGTATCAGTTAGCCCGTTGTACGCCTTAGTTAAGGCTGCACCTACTTCAGGGTTAGGTGTTGTGAGAAAACAAATTGAATCCTTTGATATTAGTTGGTAGTAGAATACACCGAGGGAACATTATTGTTCAATGTGAAGAAGGTTAATACGAAACATCCAGAAAAATTAAGATTATAACAACGTAAACGTCTTTGAAACTCAGATGGTTTACCTACTTACCATTTTTAACCGACTTCAAAAAAGAGGGAGGTACTCTATTAGACTGTATTTTTATATGTTCATAAGCAAGCTCACATATAAGATATTTCATTCTAATGTTCTTTGCTTTTGCATTACATTAGAATGAAATATAATATTTCTTTTCTTTTTTTAAACGTTACCTCCACTCTAGGATTTTCTCCTGTATCGCTGGGGCAGTTTTTTTTTATATAGAATAAGGGTGACAAACGAGCACACAGTCCACTTGATGGTAAGTGGTTGCTGTGGTCCATAGACATCTACATATATCTTCATTTGCGAATTAAAATGCAGATGCGTTGTCAGCCGTGAGGACTAAGATAGAATGCCTCTTTTTCAGTAAAAAGGGTGTCCGGTTCTCTACACTCACCATACGAAACACAGCAGCATTAAGCTGCTATTTTACGCTGGTATTCTTTGAGAGCGTGGTCCTTCCCCAGTCGAGCCAACCCATTCGTGCTACAACTATACTATTTTTTTTTGTTTTTTCTTGTTGTAGTTGTTAGATCGGCAAATTTACTTTGAAGTCGTAACCATGGGTCGTATGCACGCACCTAGTAAGAGTATTTCCCAGTCGACATTGCCGTACCGTCGCAGTGTGCCTACTTGGTTAAAACTGACAACTGATAATGTTAAGGAACAGATTTTCAAACTCGGGGATTCACATGGAGTTGCCCAAGTCAGATTTGCTACTGGCAAAAAGATTCTTCATACCGTGAAGGCTATGGGTCTCTCTCCTGATCTACCTGAGGACCTGTACTACCTGATCAAAAAGGCCGTGGCAATGAGGAATATATATATATATATATATATATATATATATATATATATATATAGCTGCAGCATGGTTCTACCACGTATAAAACTTACATACATTTACTTATATAGATTTCACAAGCACAAACATCCAGACCCAGATCAATTATGTCTAGGCCACACAAATACCTGTTTCGTGCGGGATTCAAACCCGCGGAAATATCAAAATGCCTAAATACTTATAGAGAAAAATACTTTTTTGTTAACGTAACTATTAATTTTTTAAGTTTGCTAAACGAATTATTTGCAATGTCATATTTACACGTCCACGATTTTTCCAAAACTATTTGATGTCATTCAAAAATATAAATATTTGACGGCTCCGTGGCGCAGTGGCTTAGCAATGAGTTGCAGCGCTAAGGGCCACGGGTTCTAATCCCACACAGAACAAGTATTTGTATGGCCTACAAATAATTGTTCTGGGTCTGGTTGTATGTTCTTGTGAAATCTATCTATGTAAACTGCCCTCGCGGTACAGGAGGAAATCTTAGTGTGGAGATAACGTTTAAAAAAAAGAAAAGAAAAAACTATATTTCATTCTAATGTAATGCAATAACAAAGAACATTAGAATGAAATATTTTGTACGTGAACGTATTCATAAGCTTGCTTATTGTATACTCTTAAGGTCTGATCACACTTTTATCACCTTATATTGTACTTTCGTTTTTATACGTAAATAATAATATACATAATCCTGTAGTTTTGGTAATAACCTGTTTTGTAATTCTTCTGTTATCAATTTTTTTTTATAGAATAATAATTTTGACTATGAAACTTAGTTGTATAGAATGGCTGTATAAAACTTACTTTTGACATAAAAAAGTTTACACGGCTTACGTCAACGTTAGAAATTATGACATTTGGGAGTGAAAACCACAAATTATAAAGTTGTATGGTGAAAACTCGAAAACATTGATGAAAGACAAATGTTGTAGTGAAAAGTCCAAAAAAAATAATGTAAAACCACGTTTTTCATGTAACCAAGAATGAGAAAATATTACAGTGTCCGCTTATAATATCTACAGCGATATGTTTACTAAAAAATCTCACCAAGATGTCAAAAAATCCACCGTTAAAATACAAGATTCTAAGAAAGATTCGACAACCCGATTAAAACACCTCAAAATCGTCTTGGGTAAATAAATACCACTTCTGTTTTAAAATCTACATAAAAGCGAAAATTTCAGTAATTCCAGTAAAGATCTTTGATTTTTTACAACATTTGACGTTTCATTCTAAACATGCTAATTAGATGAGAATAACTGTAACTGTGTGTTGATGTACCTAAATTTATTGCACAGAGAATCGATGTTATTTGGCTATATTAATATATTGTTTAAATAATCATTTCAACTTTAAATATACAGAGTTTTTTACACTTAGTCAACTTTTGCATAAAATGGTTATCAAAAATCAGTTTACTTTAAATTGAAAATAAATATCTATCTATTAATTATTTAATGGTTGAGTAAATTATTTTATTTAGCATTAATAAAATAAGAATAAAAATTTTCAGAACATTTTGATGCTGATGAATCCAAGACATACTTTGAGGCCAACTTTAGTCATGTATATTTTATCTTGTATGATAACTTTATTTTAGCAGAAAATAATCTTCGACAAAGAGGTAAAAGTGACAAAATTTCTATAACTTCTGTATTTTATACTTAAATTATTTTGTAAATTCAGTGTTTTTGGTATGTTGTATACAGTATTTGTTTTCAATTAAACTCTTATTGACTCCCATAATTTAATAAAACATAAGAATTTTACAGTCAAATGACAGAACAACACAAAGTTTTTTTTCTTTAAAAATATCAGTATTCAAATTTAAAAAATATTGTTTGTTGTATTATTGATAAACACTTTTATAATCAGCTTCTTTCTGTTTTGGCGACACAGAACTTCCGTTCCATCTTGGTGAGTTGTTGTGTTATAGAAAATAACTCATGTATTTACTTCATTCTTTAACATTTGAGATAATCACTTTTCTTGTTAGTGCTTTGAAAATGAAACAATTTTACTTTTAGCTTATTTGAATTATTTTAACAAATTATTTTCCACTAAATTCATAAAACAATCATTTACATTCATTGCATATTAATGAGTTTTATTTATTTGTAAAAAAAAAACATTTAAAATCATAAACAGAATCCATTATCTCATTGCTGTCATGTCACAGCTTTATGTGTGGGGTTGATTGTAATTCATTAGATTTGTACCTTTGTCTGTAGTAATTACATTAATAATAATTTTTTATTATAAATAGGTAAGGTGGATTGTTAGAAAATATGAGTTTAGTAATAGGATATGCCATATCAGTAAATTAATATTATGCTTAATCTTTGCATTAAAATGTTTAATGTTTATACAATACAAAAATGAGACAGAAAATAGACATAATGAAGTTCACATTTCTCAATAAATATGCACAATTCTTTTACACTTTAATCATTCATGTGTGGGCCACACCTTAATGAATATCTCTAAACAGGTTTGTTATCTCTGAATGATGATGATATCTTGAAGTTTAGCATAAAGAGTTTTATGGAGAGTGATACATGACATTTTTACATGTCAGTATAAATAGCGGCATGAAAGTCTAGGGGTGACCATAATTGTGCATAAGTCAAAAATAAGGTATCATGGGGTAGTAAGCAGGTAGCGGGGCGGGCGTGAGTCGTTCACACGCGCTGATTAGCTCGTGCATATCGTTCGCACAAGCTGATTGGTGCTCTAGTTGTATTCGTGCAATTCAATTCGTCTGCGACAGTACCCATGTGCAGCTATCCCTCCACGTTTCGTTAAAAATGTAGAAGATTTCTGTATCTTCATTCTTCATGTCAAATATAATATTTGTAAATATCTTTTAGTTGAATATTTAATAAGTTCATTAATACACTATTTGTTTCACACACATGAATAAAAGTCACAGCCTTACTTTTACTTATAAAATCAATATAATATATTTTTTCATTTTTAAAACTTCTAATAAATTCTATATGTGGTAGACCCATGCTGCAGCTATATTAGCAGTATAGTTGTAGCACGAATGGGTCGGCTCGACCGGGGAAGGACCACACTCTCATAGAATATCAGTGTAAAATAGCAGCTTAACACTGCTGTGTTTCATATGGTGAGTGTATTGAACGGGAAACCCTTTTTTCTGAAAAGAGCCATTCCACCTTTGTCCTCACGAGTGACAATTGAAGATAGATGTAGATGTCTATGGCTCACAGCAACCACTTACCATAAGGTGGACGGTGTGCTCGTTTGTCACTCTATCCTATAAAAAAAATCTTACTAATACTAGTGTCAAAATCAGAAAAAATAAAATTTTACTCTTTCTATGTAATAAATTGTCACACTAAAATTGTTATTATATATTATATATATTAAAATTGTTACAAAAAATGAGCGAAAACAGAAAACATAGTGTCATTGTCCATTTTTCTGGCTGTACTGAAAACAAATAAGCAAAATATTACATGAAAAGAGTAATGAAAATTATGAAATAAATTGTATCTATCTTTTTGATTTTGACATTTGTATTATCTAAACATATTTTTTTTAAATAAATTTGATTTGTAGAATGAAGATACAGAAATCTGGCTACATTTTTAATTACATATACTGACATGCTATAAAGTGAAACAAAGCACATGGTGACCCTTCCCTACGCATTTGTGACATGACAGTGACAAGATAACAGTCTATGAAGATATCACCAATGCAATGGCTTACCATAAAGTTAACAAAAGTATTTACAATTAAAAGTCATAGACTTTCAAACATTAACAAATAGCTTGGAAAAGTGGGTTTTAACACTTTGTATTCGGCCTCATTATAAAGTAAAAAATCATGGAATGTAAACTCACAATTAAAATAACATTGTTTGGTTGAATGTTTCCTAGTAGCAAACACTTGTCTTTCCTAAATTATCTTGTAAATGTTTTAGTACACAAAGCTGGCAGGGAAGAATTAGAAGGAGCATTATCTCTGTTAGAAAAAGTATTATGCCTTGTACCTGAGTTACTTGGAAAAAGATGGCAGTTACATTCTCTTACAAGAATATTTTCAAAACTCCTCCATAATGGCAATTCTCAAAAACTTAGGGCAGAAGCTATAAGGTAAGTGCACTATTGTAATTTATTTTTATAGCTTTTTAAGAAAAATAAACAATATTTATCTGCCACTTTAAAGAAAATTAAACATGTTACCATTACATGAAAATTCATACAACATATTCTTAGACTTGCTGTGCTACAAGCAATTATTATATCATAAATAGATCTTTTGTATTCCATATACAATATTTATTACCATAATAAAAAAAAAAACTAAAAGTTAAATTATTATACAGTCTTACTCCCAGCTGTATAGTGCCAAGAAAATTGTTGGACGCCATTGTCTCTAAATATTCCACAAAGCTCTAAAACCAAGGGAACATTTATAGAGACAAGAGTTCTATGAACAACACTATTCAGAGAACTGTAGCAGGAAGACCTTATCAGCGCTTTTATTGAATAAAAGTATGTGGAGCCCAAACTCGTCGACCACAAGGACACATGAGATACTTTAGATATTTAGATATTTAAGCATAATTAGGGATAACAGTGCAGAGATCAATAAAGTTTATATTGCACAAAAAATGTGTTTGCGCCATTCATGGTGTTGGCCCAGATGTCTCATAGCAACCTTTATTCAAGACACTGGGGATCTTACCCTTGCCTTGTTTGTATATATTAGAAGTTGCCAAATTCGTAAAGGAACATGGGAATAGTTTTCATAAAATTAATAAAAAAATGGTGTCCATGAATAGAAGATAAGCAGATAGGATAGTAATTAGCGAAATCTAAAAAGTGAACGCTTTAGTAAAAGTTGTTACTGGGTGGGAAAATAATACACACAAAAATACCACACACAATTAGATCGTCCTATACAAACTTTTTTAAAATTCATACCGGTGGCTTCTTCATAATCGATTTTACTCGGTAACCGGACTTTAAATTACTGGCGACAATTTTGGTAGGACTATATCTGATAATGGACATTTTTATTATTAACTGACATTGTGTATAATATTGTTTAATTTAATTTCCTTTATTTGTTAATTTTCTTTTTAAATACACTTTTGACATGTTTATGTCATGAAATATATTGTTATTGCTGACTTAATGATCTAATAATAATTAATTTTAATATGTTAATTTCTATGAAACAAAAATTTCAAAGAAAATAAAAACAAAATTGCATGTCTTCACTAAAGGCTTAGTATGTAATACATAGTATTTAATAATATCTCGTGTACCATACATACTAAAAAGCAAATAAATAAATAAATAAATAAATAGAAAAGTTACTCGACTAGCAATATACAATATTAGTAACTTGTGGAGGTGTAAGCATATTTACTCCACCGTATTATCTTGTAGGTGTCGTAAGAGACGACAGAGGGAAACAAACCAGGAGATGGACAGCAGTATCTTTTTTTATAGAATAAGGGTGACAAACAAGCACGCAGTCCACCTGATGATAAGTGGATGTTATGGCCAATAGACATCTACATTTATCCTCGATTAAGAATCAAAATTAATACAAAACTTATGTTCACAAAGAACAAGTCCAAAGAAATGAGAGAGGAACTAAAGAAATTGTTCAAACAAACCAACAGATCAATCAAAAAAGATAATGCTAACCATAGAAGAGAAATTATAGAAAAAAATATGTATACTTTCCGTAGTTCAAAAGGAGCCTTTAAAGAATTATCTACGCACAAAAATTGGATACAAAGTCTGAACAGTGAAAAAGGTGAAAATAAAGACAGAGAAGGTATAATAAAATGTGCAACGGTTTTCTATACTTCTCTTTATGCAAAACCACCACATGATATGACACAAGAAGAAAAAGATAATAGTAATATAATTGGAGAAGATATAGTAGAAACACCAGTAAATCCAATAACTGAAATAGAAATATTGACCCAAATCAAACAACTAAAACCCGAAAAGAGCCCAGGCGAAGATAACATTTTTTTTTTATAAGATAAGGGTGACAAACGAGCACACAGTCCACCTGATGGTAAGTGGTTGCTGCGGCCCATAGACATCTACATCTATCCTCGTTTGCGAATCAAAATGCAGATGCGTTGTCACCCGTGAGGACTAAGATGGAATGCCTCATTTCCAGTAAAAAGGGCCTCCGGCCACCTGCACTCATCAAGCGAAACGCAGAGGTAAACCTCTACTTCACGTAGGTATTCTGTGAGGTCGTGGTACCACCCCGGTTCGAGCCGGCCCATCCGTGCGACAGCATAAGCCGCCGCGTGGCTCTACCACTGTTAACATCACAAACAAAGCCCTCAAAATTGGAGCGCCAACCCTGACTGTATATCTAGCAGAATTATTCAATTTAGTACTGGAAAAAGAGCAAGTACCATCACAATGGAGTAAATCAAATATAATACTATTGTATAAAAAAGGGAACCCGCTCGACATCAGCAACTACAGGCCTATCAGATTACTATCAACAATATATAAACTCTTTTCATCAATCATCAGAAGAATCAGCCAATAGAACAAGCGGACTTCCGGCCGCACTACTCAACAATAGACCACATTCACACAATGGAACAAATAATCTATAAATATAAAGAATTCAAAAAACCACTCTACATAGCTTTTGTGGACTATTCCAAAGCATTCGACAGCATAGTACACCCACCTATATGGACTGCTCTAAGAAATAATGATGTAAACAAAAAGTATGTAAACATCATAAAAAACATCTACTCTAAAAATGTAAGTAGAGTAAAACTAGAAAGACAAGGGGAAGAGTTCACAATTGGTAGAGGGGTGCTGAAGGGCGACCTGTTGTATCCAAAGCTATTCATAGCTGTACTTGAAGACATTTTCAAAAACATTAATTGGGAAAATAAAGGCATATAGATACTCAATAATAAATTAACACACCTAAGAAAATGGGAAGGAAATTATTATAATTAGATATAATATATTTGTAACAATTGTTAAGTGGAAAATAAAGCTGTAATAATAAGAATCAAAATTTAGATGCATTGTCACCCCTGAGGACTAAGATGGAGTGTCTTGTTTCCAGAAAAAAGGGTATTTTGTTCTCTACACTCACCATACGAAACAGTAGTAAATGTGTCAGTGTAAATGTCTTCATAATCCCAACTTAAAAAAAAATATGTAAAATAATGGCACATATCCCACCTATGAGGCAATCTATGGGGAGACTTATATTCAGCAGTTGACTCTTGATAGGCTGTAATATTAATGGTAATAGACAAGTTTTCATGGTTACTAGTAAATTTTCAAAACTGTCTCCATTTGTTTGTTTTACTGTGTATTTACATTTGTTTTGTTTTTTTTATTCAATCCATTTTTATACTGATAATTACCATTTTAGAGATATCAAAAATTGAGATTCATAAAAAAAAAATAATGTCAGGTGTTTAATTTTTCAATTATTTTTTTTGTTAAAAGTATGTCACAGTCCTAAACTGTAAAAGTATAGTTAAGGCAGGGTATTCCCGACGTTATAGGCTTACAGAATTCCCTTTTATGCTATAAAAAATCTCAAAATTACCTGCCATTCCTGCCATTCTACGAGCATTTGACTGAAGTCAGAGTAGTAGTTAGATTCTGTTGTTGCGTCTTATATTTGTACAGTACGAATTTACCATGCAACTTTTGGTGGACAAAAAGTTACATTATTTGAAACATTTTTGCTTATTAACAGGAAATATAGTAAAGAATCTAAATATAAATGTATATGTAATTGAATAACATGCCTTTCATATTATCGAAAAATATTATATGGTTAATTGCTTAAAAAAGAAACAGGAACTCGAACGTCAGAGTTATTTTCCAGCAATTATATAATTTTTTTTTATCTAGATTAATTTAAAATATTTTCGATTGAGAATTTAACTGGGTATTGTATGTATGCGTATATTTTTTTTCGAGCATACTCAATTTCAACAAATATCGTTACTTGTGCATTGCTTGTATCGTACTTGCGTGTCAAAATCTTGTCTAAAATATGATACTTTTGGCCAATCTGACCTTAAGTAAAATCGGAAAAGTAACAAATACAGATATGGTTAAAGATACCTATGGATTGAAGGAAAATTATATGGATAGAATAACAAGAACAAAAGTTGTTGGTGTTAGAGATAGAAATTGTAGTCTATGAGGTTTTTGATATATTATAATTAACCCTGTATATGTTTTCTGAAACTACACAACAACACAAACACTCACGCCTGTCACCAAGAGGGGTAGGCAGAGACTACGGACTTCCATTTGGCGCGACCCTGACACACCTCTGTCGCCTCCTTTACATCCATATATCTACGCATACACGCTCGTCGATTAAGGGTACTCCTAATCCGGCCCATTTTCAACGTATCGCCGATTTTGTCGATAAATCTTCGTCTAGAGCGTCCCTTCCCCAAATTCCCCTCCCCCACTACCTTTCATAAATTTGCTTTGTCACTCTTTCCTCGTTCATTCATTGTACATGACCAAACCACCGAAGCATTCCTTTTTTAATCCTGGTCACAACGTCATCTTGCAAACCACACATTTCTCTTATCACACTATTTCTCACCCTGTCTGAAACTATTTTTACAGTTTTATTTTTTATTTTTTTTAGATATTTCCTTCTATGGTATCAAGCTCTTGGAGATAATGCCCCACATGAAGTACACAGGATGTTTGCTGGGTTGGTGCCAGGTATGCCTGAATCGCCGGCCCAGTCAATTGGATCCCCTTTTAAGCAAAAATCTTTTGATGTAATAACTAATATATCAAATGAGTCAGGTGATTTCAAAATGGAGGACATAATGCAGCACCCAAACTTCAATTCCGCTTCTGATAATGTGAAGAAAGTTGTTGTGGAGCAAACATCAACTGGTATTATGGGAAAGTTAGCGCATGTTTCAGCCTCAATATTTCATGATACAAATGCTCTTAACCCAGTTCAAAGTGTAGAGATACAACCTTTACTACCAGCAAGTGCCAATGAGAAGCCAGTAGATAATGAAACTAGATTTTTTTTTGAAATACTTCTTGATGGTATGGCCACTTCAGTTACAAAAATACACTGGCGAGATAGATCACATGCCAAAGCAATGAGATGTTTTGCATTTTTATTGGAGAAGTTTAAAATATACTATCTACCTATCATTTGCCCGCAGTTCAATCATAGAAACTCATTATACAAGCCTAATCTTGGTAAGATTTTTAATTAATATTACAATAATCAAACATCAAGTAATATAAATAAAAATAGTTATATGTGTTTTATCACATTTAATTTTAACTTATTTTTATTCACAACGTTTCCATTTCGGGTGACTGAGGTGTTTGACTTCCTTATTTCAAAGTCATCTCAGGCTTCCTTCACTTTGAATATAAATTTTTTGCTTGATCTACGGAGAACGAGTTTACAGTACATTAGACAAAATGCATTGTTAACTGAGATAAGCATTTCTTTATAACATACATGGCGCAGGTTTTTAAAGATATAAGCTAGGCGTCGAACCCTTCTAGACATAGTATCTATACGCTTATCCCATTTTAAATGTTGATCTAAAATTACACCTAGATACGTGACAGAATCTGTCCTCGAAATTATTCTTACACACACAATTTTATACGTGGTAGAGCCATGCTGCAGCTATATTAGTAGTATAGTTGTAGCACGAATAGGTTGGCTCGACCTGGGAAGGACCACGCTCTCACAGAATACCAGCGTTAAATAGCAGCTTAACACTGCTGTGTTTCGTATGGTGAGTGTGGAGAACTGGCGACCCTTTTTACTGGAAAAGAGGCATTCCATCTTAGTCCTCACGGGTGATAACGCATCTGCATTTTGATTCTCAAACGAGGATAGATATAGATGTCTATGGGCCACAGAAACCACTATCCATCAGGTGGACTGTGTGCTCGTTGCCACCCTATCCTATAATAAAAGTCTTATCAATATTTAATGTAAGTTGTTAAATTATCCAGCCAGTGTCAAGAACTTCCTTCGCAATTTTAAAAGTAGTGCACCATGACTAGAACTAAAGGTAAGAACCGTATCATCTGCATAACTGAGTATTTTTTCGTTTTTAAGCTCCAATCTACATAAATCACCCATTTAGATCAAAAATTATGTAGGTCCCAGAAAATTACCCTGCGGCGCACCAAACTGGATGCTGAATTCAGAAATAAACATTCCCTCAATATTCAGAACTTGTTTTCTGTTTGACATGTAATCACTAATTAGTTAAAGGCATGCCACGTATATAATAATAATAATAAATATATATAGTCTTACAGTAGTTATGCCTTGGCTTTGAAATTAAACTTATCATGTATAATTAATAGCGAAACTGGTAAGATCAACTCTCGCAATTCAAATTACCAGTTAAGTGTTAACAACAAATTAACTATATCAGATCAGGACGTAGCAATGGCTTTTGAGAAATATTTTACTGATATTCCGATCTTGACCACTAAGTCACTGAATTCCTCTCCTGCCGTCGCCGAATCATTACTTAAACAAAATGTAAATGCGTGTACAAAGAATTTTACATTTCATAAAGTGTCATCAAAAGATATTGTAAAATATTTTAAAACTATTGATGTTAAGAAAACTGCGGATCTGTGGGGGATTTCCGTTAAAGTTATTGCGTCTATAATAGATACAATCGCGCCTCATTTAGCTATTATTTTTAATACTAGTATCGAATCTGGTGTGTTTCCTGATTTAATGAAGCATAGTAAAGTAATAGCTTTATTTAAATCTGGTAGTACATTAGACCCCGCCAATTTTAGACCTATTTCTGTACTACCAACACTTAGTAAGATTTTTGAAAAAATTGTTCTTGATCAAATGTTAAATTTTTTTAATATAAATAATTTACTTCATAAAAATCAATTTGGTTTCACAAGGGGTCGCTCGACAACTGATGCCGATGTTGAGCTGATTAAATATATCTTTAATGCATGGGAGAATTCACAGGATGCTTTGGGTATATTTTGTGACCTATCCAAGGCCTTCGATTGTGTTCACCATGAAACATTAATCAGGAAACTTCAACACTACGGTGTAAGAAGTGATGCTCTTAAATTAATTATTTCATATTTAAGTAAGAGAACGCAAAAAGTTGTCATTAACAATATGCGCTCTTCCGGATCGATGGTACAAATGGGCGTGCCTCAAGGCTCAATTCTCGGCCCCTTTCTGTTTCTTGTATACATTAATGACTTACCTTACATAGGGGATAACCATGATATAGTATTATTTGCAGATGACACTTCTTTAATTTTCAAATTAAATCGACAATTACTAAAATATGACGAAGTAAATAATGCTATATCTAAATTAGTAAATTGGTTTAATGTTAATAATTTGCATTTAAATGGCACTAAAACGAAATGTATGAAATTCATGACTCCAAATGTCAAACAATTAAATACTAATGTAATTTTAAATGGGGAGAAACTGAGTCTTGTAGATACCACCATTTTTCTTGGAATCACACTAGACGCGAAGCTTCAATGGAGCCCCCATATATCAAAACTAGCAAGCAGACTTAGTTCTGCAGCATATGCTGTAAAAAAGATTAGAAGTCTAACCAGTGTTGAAACAGCTCGACTAGTTTACTTTAGCTATTTCCATAGCATAATGTCGTATGGTATTTTGCTATGGGGACACGCAGCTGACACTGAAATTATATTTGTTTTACAGAAGAGGGCCATAAGAGCAATTTATGATTTAAAGCCTAAAGAATCGCTGCGACAAAAATTTAAGGAAATTAATATATTAACTTTAGCCTCTCAATACATTTATGAAAATGTAATGTACGTACACAAAAATAAAAGTAGTTTTACAAAAATAAGTGATATTCATTCTGTAAATACTAGGAACAGACACAAGCTAGTAGTACCAGTTACTCGACTCCATCGAGTCAGTAATTCATTCTTGGGGCGATGTATACGCTTTTACAACAAAATTCCAGAAAATATACAAAGTTTGACCTGCTCAAAGTTCAAAAACTTTATTAAACTAAGTTTGTATAAAAAGGGTTATTATAATATTAAGAAATTTATGGATGATAATAACCCCTGGAAATGAGGTGATCGCTACCAAGCTATTTCTAATTTGTTGTGTTGTTAATTTGTGTAAAAAATATTTATTTTTAGAATTGCCCGTCCAGCATAACATTTTAGAAGACGATTACGTGATATGTCGTGTGACGCTCATTAAATGGGTTGCGAGTTATGCAAATTTTGTAAAGCGACAAGGCAGCGATGTTGGGCAACCATCTTCAATGACAAGCACAGGATCTCACCTGCCTCATTCTGGTACACCCACACCCGCCACTTCTTTACATCATGAGGAGGAGACTTCTTTCACTGTGGGACATCCATCAGATTCAAGTAGAGCGTCCTCACATGACTCGTCCTCTAATACACCTCATCCTAGTTTGGAATCAGGTTTGTTTACATTTAATTAATAACTTTTTAATACTAAACATTCCAGTTACAATCAAATAGTTGAAACAAGAGCTTGATATACTACTTAATTACATAAAATATAGGTTTTTATCAAACTGTTTACTCAAATTAAATAAAATTGCTTTGTATAATTATCGCTTTAAAGAGTTCTCAGACTTATTTGGCTAGCAAATTTGTTAAATCTAAAATCTTATTAAATACTTGATAATGTTGTAAAAGTAAAAGATAATAAATAAACACAATAAACGAGGAATAGATTCTCTCTTCTGTTGTCTCTTAAGAAAGGGGAAAAAAGTCTTTTATAAAATTGTATTGTATTTTTTAAATTGTAATATTTAATAAAATTGTGTTGTTATGTGGTAAAGATGTTAAATTATTTAGCTAAGATACGCGTAAAAAATTATAATTTTTAGGGTTCCGTAGTTAAAATTAAGGAACCCTTAAAGATTCGCCATATCCGTCCGTCCACGGTTTTACTCAGAGACCCAAGTGCTACAAAGTTGTAATTTGGCATAATTATAGATATTAATCACGCCTACAAAGTCGTGAAATAAAATCTTGAATTATGTCGTGTGAGGTGTCGTTGGATAGGTCTTTCAAATATATTGAGGGACATGAACAACATTTTTTCGATCCTAGCGCCCGTTTGCGAAATATTTAATTTTAAAGTGGTATTTTATAAGTCATGTGTCCCCTGTACCAACTAAACTGCTGTTCTTGCAAATGTTAAAGTATATATAATGAAGTTAAAAGGAAAACTATGACCGCTAAGTGGGCTTAAGTTAACGAGTAATATTCAACAACTTATTGAAAGCACTTGGATTAGTAAAAATTTCGTTACAATTGCATAGAAGATGACCTAAAACTAGCTGTATTATAACTTTATAATGTTAATGTAAATGATACGAAAACGACATATACATTACTACTATAGCTTTACGTTTTCCTTTTCGGGGTAGGCAGAGAGGATAGCAAGAGACCGATCCTGACATATCACTTTCGCTTATTTTTTTAGTTAGTAGTTATTGTAGGTCTACAGTTTCATTCCTAGTACTCTTTTATTACACGTGAAACCCTCAGGATAGTTTAGGGTAGTAGTGGTTTAAGGGATGGTCCGATACGGTCATGTATATCTTAGGGTTACAATGCCAGGACCTAATATATGGCTAGGGAACTACAGACATTTTTGTACGGGCTCTTGGCATGTGAATGATTTGATGGATTCTATTATTTTCAAAATCTAAAAGTATTTTTTTTTTTGAATACCTACCACTCTATATAAGTTTGCTTAGAAAATAAGTCCTACAGTTATCATCGTCTTATTTACGCCCATTTTTAGTAGTTATAGCGGTCAAACCGCGTACTCACTTAATATTTAGTGTAAATAATATATACAGGTTTATTTTTGAAATAGTAGCCAAATTTTAAACTTAAGTTCAAATATATAAATAATGATATACCCTTATTGCAGTTTTTGAAAATACGAATAATTACGGCTTCTACTTTTATTTGAAATTATCCCAATTTGACTGTGATATGTGGGCAACAACGTTTGTGTCTACCGATCGACCCTAATAAATGTGTGCGTGCGCAGTTAAATCAGTTAAAATAATGCATTCCCACGCATTTTGAATTTAAAAGATAAATGGAATGATTGACATTTTTTAATAATTTTTGTTCACCATTTTCCTATATATATATTCTTAACCTTCTCTGCAAATTTGACCGGTTATTTTAAAATAACCCTGTATTTATAGTATCAAGAAGGCCCCTTCTAAGATCTAATTCTTTTAAGTTTGTTTAATTTTAATTCTTCTAAGATTCTAAGATATTTTGGCAGCCAACTATGGAAGCCTACCTCTACATTGTTCATGATCCGACACGCACTTGGCTGGTTTTGTTTTTATTTTTTACGCGGCTAAATAATTGTAACATCTTTAATATAATGGATTTCTGTAAAATAACGCCTGATTCTACTAATATTTTTTTATAAAGTTTTACTATGTGTTGACATAAGACCCTAATAAATGACTACCTAATAACAGACATCTCGCTCGTAGGTTCAGGTGTCTTAGAGGAGTTAAGCTCTGAACAAGTGGTCCGCGACGTACTTTGCTGTTCATCGCGGGAACACGTGGATTTTACAATTGAGGTGCTGCGCCAGGCTTTCCTGCTACCTTTCTCTCACGCGGCTGCCGTCAGGCGCGTCATCGGACTGTACAAAGACTGGATACAGATGAATGTTAGTGCACTACATATAGTCGTAATTCGACTTTTATGTCTACCTTTTTTTAAGTTAAAATTTGAACTATTATGTATAGAGGGAAGACTGTAGCAGCGGCGTAACCCTATACCTCTCGTGGGTGTCGTAAGAGGCGTCTATGAAAATGCCAGATAATTCTTATGGCTTCAGTTATTAGCGGTACAAATATGGATTTTCGCCAGGCGTAAAACACTCAGAGCGGCGAAGGAAAGCGACGTCAAAGGTGCAAGATGTCTGGTACTGGGATCTTAAGTCTGTATTTAAAGGAAAGACATTTAAAGGAAATCCCTATAATAAAGGGAGGACAGAGGGCTAATAATATGGTGCAAAAGATACAGACAGAAACAATATACAGACGTCATCGGAATAAATAAGTCGGAAACGTGAATTAAATTACACAAATGTATGGAAGGAAGAAACTATAATATTTTGACCTATTAAAATAACTTTGTGTTAAATATACATAATATTTAGTAAAAAAAAAAAAATAGGAGAATGATACCTAACGTTAATAAATGCGTAATAATGATAATTAATGTATTTATGAAGCAATTAATATAGCGCTTATTAATACATTGGTTGCTTAAGTACTGTAAGTATTTATTATGTGACTGCCTCGTTGGTCTAGTGTTGCAAAACGCGATCGAGAATCACGAGGTTCCGGGTTCGAATTCTGGGTCTGATCAAAATCAGTTAAGTATCAGGTTTTTCTAACAAAAAATTCTCTTTAGCAACCCGGAGTCAGGAGTTAATGTTACACCCCCGTGCCTCCGAAAGCATGTAAAGCCGTTGGTTCTGTACCTGATCTATGAGAGTGAAGGAATAGAGAGTGCACATGTGTCGGACACTATAATCCTGTACTTCGCAGATGGCTAGTCTTTTTTATAGCAGAGGGCGGCAAACGAGCATGCGTCTCACCTGATGGTAAGTGTCGACCGCCGCTCATGAACAAATGCAACACTAACAGAGTTGCAGATGCGTTACCGGCCTTTTAAAAAGGAGCAAGCTCGTTTCTTGAGGGCTTCTAAGTCGAATCAGTCGGAGTTGTGATTTGGATGGTAACGTGAGTTTTGTCGCAATGTGCGTTGGTGAAATTTGGCGTCTGGAATTAATCCGAATAATTCCTCAGAGCACTCCCTGTGGTAAATGCGATAAATGAAATGTCTCCGTTGAGAGTGACCGCCGTGGCCAAAATTCAGGCCCGTATTAATAAACGTTACTCAACGACGAACTCAAGTGCGTAAACATTTGATACGCCCTCATTATGATATCAGCATTTCAAGATCGTTGCTAATTAATAAACACATAAAGACAGTATCTTAAAGCTTAGGAATACTGTTCTGTGACTTGCACTTAAGTACACACACTTGAGAGTCGAGTTTCGTTTATTAATCAGTGTGGCACTCAGCTGATATCGTAAACCTAAACCGCATCTTGAGATATGTTTATTAATAAGATCATAACCTCAATATTGAACTCAAGTGCGTGTACTTGAGCTGAGTAACGTTTATTGATACGGCCTCAGTCTGGAAGATGGTTATTATTATTATTTATTAAACAACATAAAACTTTGCCGTCAGGTGTCGGAAATCCCACCGTTTCTAATAGAAAACACGTACGAGCAGCAACTAGCGGCCGGGGAGCCGGCAGCGCCGCCGCGTCGTCTCCGCAACGACTCCTACCTCGGCGCGGTCAACCGAGATATAATGGTTCGGGCTGGCATGCAGGTAACTAATGTGCCTTATATCTTCCTATACTACCCTACCCTAAGTAATTGAATTGTGTAACCTGTTTTAGCGGATTTTCCATTAATTTCAACTGAGGAATGGACAAATATGTTTTCCCTCTGGCTTTAAAAGCAATAGATTTGCTTCTTTTAGCTTTATTATTACCGTGTGCTTTGTGTATCGTTAACAAATAGCGTGCAATTTTCTTAGATCGCTTAATGAGGGGCTTAGAAGCACCATGTCTTCGGCGATACTAATATTATTAATAGAGATTTATTGTACTGAGCAGCCGAGCTGAGTGCCACTAAGCTTGTCGACCAGCTTTTTCTTGTAAAGTTAATGAGACTTATGCCCAAATACTCAGACGCTGCTCAATTTTAAGATGTCGTTAAGTCTCGTGGTGTCGCAGTCACTTTAACTTAATGTGATAGAGACAGCACGAGTCTTAACGGCATCTTAAAATTGAGCAACGTTTGTATTTGAGCATTAGTGTGGCAAGACCACCATGTCGTACACCACACTTCAGTCTGTTTGCGGATTGATGATTTTGCCCGCTTAACATAATTACTTTGATTTTTATACCAGTATTTAAATTTTTCTATAAGCCCTTATGAGTCCTTTCTGTAGTCAGATTGTCCTAGAATTTTTCGATCACAAGATCAAAAGTCTCTGTCAGATCTAACAAAAAGGTTTACACTGGAGTTTTTATACAAGTTTAGTACTGAACGCGGTATCTTCGAGGCTAAGGATTTCAATTTCAGCAGATAACACAGATCTTAAACTGTAACTACAATCTGTTTTATGAAAGAAGTCCCGCGGAAATATTACAAAAAGCGGTTCGAAAATTACTAAAAAATTTCAATAATATTTCGAATACATGTGTAGTCCACTAACACACTATTAGAATCGCTCGGCGGGCACTTTTGTGCTCTAACACCCTCTTAAAAACAAAAAGCTCCCTGTGCTCATCTGTGGTATGTACATAGGCAGTAACATTATCGTAAAATAAAGTGTCGTTATTTTACGATTTCATTAACTGAATATTATTTTTGTTTTCGCAGAACGTGTTACAAGTATTCATGACACAGGCTGCAAATGTGTTCTTGGCGTGCCCCTCTCCAGTAGCGCCACCTGGTGCCATCAACCAACAACAGCACCTATTGCAAGAACAGACTGATACTTGCAAACGCGTACTGAACATCTATCGTTACATGGTTATGCATGTTGCAATGGATGCAAGTACATGGTGAGTTTATTTTGTGAAATGACACTGTTACAGGCATCGGTAGTTAATAGTTTGGATTGACAAGTATATCTATCATGAAGTTGTACGATATGCCGCTATATTTTTGTTACATTTTGATAACACGTGTAACACACGACTTAACAGTCTATCTGATGGTAAGTGGTAACTGTCTACTGTTCATGGACATGTGCGAGTTAATTAACTTCAAACAAAGAAGACCTCAGATGTGTTGTCACATTGTGAACTAAGATACCCTTCCAAGCAAAACTCAGCAGCCAGTGAATTGTTGCTTTGCAGCAGAGAAAAGTAAAAAGGTAAAAAAGTAAAAAACCAACATTGACATTTAAACCATTTTATTTACTACTAGCCGTTCCCCGCTACTTCACCCGCGTACAATTTAGGGTTTTAATTTTTTTGCACGGAACGCTAATTCTTTTTCAAAAATAAAAGTAGTCTAAGTTTAACTCTTTATAACATCAGCTATCTGCCAGTGAAAGTCCCGTCAAAATAGGTCCAGCCATTTCGGAGATTAACCGGAACAAACAGACATACAGATAGACAGACAGACAGACAGCGAGACAAAAATTTAAAAAATTATGTTTTTATTATATGTACCATATATACTTTCATAAGTATTTAGTAAAAAGCTGTTATTTTGATATTACAAACAGACACTTCAATTTTATTTATTTGTATGGATGGGTAATAATTAAAGAATCGTAAATGATAAAATAACGTAAAAGTATTATTTAATTTCTAATATAGTTTTTTATATACAGTGTTAAAGCCTTCCCAGCGATACTGCCATAATAGCTCTAATGTTGCCAAATCAATATTGATTAATTTATTCGCCATTGATCTTGATATCGTATCTTTCCCAGATTACTACCTTAAAAACGTCTTCCAACGCAAGAATGCCGGGGCATAACATCTAACATTCCTTGTCTTTACACCTTTCTGAAATTGAATACATTTTGTGACCTGCTTTTATACTCGGATGGATTTATCTTACTGTTCAAACACTTCAGCAATTCGACATTCTCACGGTCAATCTAAGTAAATCTGATTACAGCTCTACCCAAATTCCGACGGAATTTTCTTTTTTGTTTTTGTTTAAGAATTATCTTCTTTCGGAAGAAAATCATTATAAAGTGTCTTCCATGCTTCTTGAATTTATCCCTGTGGTTTTGTATACCTATTCCGAATTTGCCTACCTTCAGCTTGGCGTCTTTTTTCGTGTCTAGGTTTGCTGGTCTAGAATGCAGAGCTGCGGAGCTATCCTCTTCCATTACTTCATCTCTTCATCGGGATACACCAAAGTTGATGCCTAAACCAGTACTACCTTCAATGACTACCGTTTGGTGGTAAATACTGCTGCCCATGTCCTGGGTCAAATCGATGGTTATATCTCTAACGTTTAAGGTTGTAAAAATCCAAGTTTGCAAAAATGGGATTTCATAACGCTGACAAGTACTCATTTTATAAGTTTGAAATTAAGTTTCTCTACAAACGCTAGTTGTGAACACGCAAACGTTTTATCAGACTTAATTTTATAATTGCAATTTTAGCGTTGGTTTTCCTCGTACCGGCATTAAATGATAATTTAAATTATTTAATTAAAAAAAAGTAATTAAAAAAAGAGAATATATAAAATGCACTTAACTGGAACTGCCTGGGCAGTAGACATGTGTCAATCGTGAATGATTCGTTCGTTTGACCGGGGCGATGATTTTGATTTGGGTTTGATTATTGCAATTACATTTTTTGAATGTTCCGGATCAAACGATTGCCAGGATCACAGAGTATAGTAATGGCGCAGAGTACTGAAACTCGAAATGAACCATTTGAATGATCGACCAGAATGACCCGGTTCGTAAGACAAATCAATACTTGAATTATGGGGTCACTAAAAAAGAATTAATGACACATGACTACTGGGTACATACAGTGTAGTAGCAGTGTAAGATCATTCACTATCGCATATCATCCCTTGGGTGTCGTAAAAGGCGACAGAGGGAAATGTAACAGGAGGTAGGCAGTATCTCCCTGATAACAACACAAAATAATTAAAAAAAACTGCGGTTTGCCAAACCGCTTACCGAGTGTGGACTAAGGCAAACATTTATCCTATGAGAAAGGCCTATGTTCAACATTGTACTTTTGATACGTAGTAATAAAAGCTGAAGCAACGTTATTTTCCCTGTAGCTTAAAACCCATTACCATCCCAAAATAAGAAGGTCTGTGACAATGGTGTCATTAATTACTTTACTATTTTAATTCTATATTCCGTTTTTTTTTTGTAGGGAGCAACTTCTGTTAGTGCTTCTCCAGATAACATCTTTAGTATTAACAAAAGTAATACCTAAAAGAAAACAGGAAACACTTGGTAAGTGTTCGTAGTATATATTTTTTTTCATAAATTATTAGTGTATACTACGGTAACGGCGACCATGGTAACGGCGGAGCAGCTGGTGCTAAGAATCTCCCGTGGAGGTTCGGTTGCCACCTAAGACGACTTGACCTGGCAACATATAACGCACGCACCCTGGGGACTGACGAGAAGATCCTGGAGCTGGAAGAAAAAATAGACAAGTTGCGCTGGAATATTATAGGATTATCTGAGATCCGAAGAGAGGGGGAGGACATGATAATCCTTGAATCCGGCAACTTGTTCTATCACCGGGAGGGCGACCATCTGTCCCAAGGAGGTGTCGGATTTATCGTCCACAAGTCTCTCGTTAACAACGTTGTAAAGATTGGGAGTGTGTCGACGAGGGTTGCATACAGGTTTACGCACCAACCTCGGCGCATCTCGATGAGGAGGTGGAGGAGATGTATGAGAATGTATCTAGAGCCATGCATTCCTCCAAAACTCACTATACTACTAAACAGGTTTAGTTTCAGTTTAGTGCGTAAACCTGTATAGTGTATACGGTGTTAATGGGAGACTTCAACGCAAAACTAGGCACAAGAGAACGGTGAGCTGAAAGTAGGGAAATTTGGAATAGGGCAACGGAACCCAAGGGGCCAGCAGCTGGCCGACTTTATGGAGAAAGAGGGACTCTTTAGACCTCTTTCTTCCATAAGCAGCCCCACAGGAAGTGGACCTGGTCGAGCCGCGACGGTTCTACAAAAAATGAGATTGACTTCATTATGACGACCAGACGACAACTGTTCAGTGATGTCTCAGTGATCGCGAGGGTAAAAACCGGCAGCGATCACCGAATGGTTAGATGCACACTGAACCTGAACGTTAAGTTGGAGAGGTCACGTCTAATGAAGTCAACGCTCCGCCCCCCCTCGTGTCGTAATCCAAAGACCCGAATCGTTTCAGCTCGAGCTACAAAACTGTTTTCAGTGCCTAGAAGATTGCAATGCAGTAGACGATATGAATGACAAGCTCGTGGAAACTCTCCATGCGGTTGGAGCTAAGTTTTGCAAGACTTTGATTTTGAGTAAGATTGAGAGGTTCTATGGGCAGCTGTACACATCATCGTTGGAGTCACATGCAAGGTGTGAGTAACGATCCAAGAGCAAGTCTTATCCGACACTATTCCGATTATATTCCGGACGTCAGTATGAGCGAGATTAGATTGGGTCTCCGGCACTTCAAAAACGGCAAGGCCCCAGGTGAGGGTGGAATTACAGCGGAACTTCTGAAAATGGGTGGGAAACCGGTACTTGAAGACCCTCACAAGCTCTTTAAGTCCGTCCTCCATGATGGCACTACACCGGAGGCGTGGAGCAGAAGTGCGGTGGTCTTGTTCTTCAAGAAAGGCGACAACGCTCTCTTGAAGAACTATAGAACGATTTTCTTTCTGAGCCGCGTCTACGTGCTGTTTTCGAGAGTCATTACGAATCGTCTCGCACGCAGACTCGACGACTTCCAGCCTCCCGAACAAGCCAGTTTCCGATAAGGCTTTAAAGTACCGAAGTCCGAGGAGTACAATTTGACACTATGTCTGGCATATGTGGACTATGAGAAAGCCTTTGATTCCATCGAAATTTGGGCAGTGCTGCAGTCCCTTCAGCGGTGCCAAGTTGACTGTCGGTATATCGAAGTGCTGAAGTGCTTGTACAGTAGGGTTACGATGGCTATCAGAGTACGAAACCTCTCGCAACTGCAGAGAGGTGTAAGGACAGGGTGACGTTATATCCCCGAAACTCTTCACCGCTGCATTGGAACACGTTTTCAAGCTACTGAGAAGGATACTGTATTAACATCAATGGCGAGTACATCACTCACCTTCGATTTGCCGACAATATAGTCCTTATGGCAGAATTGCTGGAGGGCCTAAGCACTATCCTCAATGTCCTCAATAGTGCCTCCCAACGGATAGGTCTTAAGATGAACATGGACAAAACAAAGATCATGTATAACGTCCATGTCACACCTATGCCGGTAGTTGTTGGGAGCACTAAGCTGGAAGTTATTGACGAGTGTGTTGACCTGGGACAAATAGTCCAACTAGGTAAACCCAACTTCGACCGAGAGGTCAATCGACGGATTCAACTCGGCTGGGCAGCGTTCGGGAAATTACGGCACATTTACTCGTCAGATATACCTCAAAACTAGAATGTACAACCAGTGCGTGTTGCCAGTGATGACCTATGGATCTGAGACGAGATGAGGAAGCTCAAGGTCGCTGAGCGAGCTATGGAGAGGGCTATGCTCGGAGTTTCTCTGTGTGATAAACTTAGAAATGAAACTGCAGTAGAACCAGAGTGACCGACGTAGCCCAACGGATTAGTAAGCTGTAGTGGCAATGGGCCGGCCATATAGCTCGAAGAACCGACAACCGATGGGGGAAAAAGGTTCTCGAGTGGCGAGCTCGTACCGGCGTTCGAAGTATAGGGCAGGAAGTCGATGGATGCAGGTGGCTAAAGACTGTGCTTTGTGGCATTCCTTGGAGGAGGCCTATGTTCATCAGTGGATTTGTGAAGGGCTGTAATGATGAGTGTATACTAGCTGATACACGCGACTTCGTCCGCGTTGCTTGATATTTAAATAAAGTTTTTCTTATGTGCGAAGGAAAAAACATCAAAAAGACAAAATTTCTTTAAAAACAATGTTATTCGTTGCTCCGTTTGTAGCAAAAATATATAAATTGTTTGTAGCTAAAATATATATAATATTTACAGTTGACCATGTGAATACCCCATATAAAAATCGTTGTTTCTTAAAACTTGAATAACTTTATATTAAATGAAGATACCGCAATAATTTTTTTTCTTTTAGATAAGGGCCAAGTGTCTAACTAATAAAACTTAATTGAAATTCATCCAGTAATATTAATGGATCCAATATTAAAAGTCCATTATTCAACAATTTCCAAACTGAAGTCATAGAGTCTGATTAATATATTTTAAAAGAATATTTTATATGTGTTACGTTTTTACGACAGTAAACTTTTCTCTGTTAATCTCAAGAAGAAATATCATTCGAAATTTCATTCGGCGCTTCATTGCATTTAAATACCTCTAATTAAATTATTCGCATTAGTACTATGCGAAATTATTATTTTGACTAATTTTTAACACCACTTGTATTTAATTGGGTTCAAACGTTTTTACAGGCGGTTTTCTAGCGCCAGCGCTCTTTCAGACCTTAATAGTGACCTGGATCAAAGCCAATTTGAATGTTGCGGTAAAACCGGAGCTGTGGCAAAGTTTTATGGAGTTGTTGACACGGCTGACACACTGGGAAGATCTCATTAAGGAATGGGCGGTGAGAATCATTTTAAATATGCATTCACAAATTAATAATGTTGGAAATATATAATTTCTTGTATATAGAATAACATAAAATCTGTTATGAGTTAAACCCTTGCCTTAAATTTTAAAAGAAATTTAGGTTACATTTATAGTAGGAACGAAAATGGACTCAATAACCAAGAGACCATTTCTGTTATATATTGCGCACTAACTTTAAGAGCGTAAGTTTTCTAAGATGTATGTAATGATGGTGTGATTAAAACTTATAATATTTTAATATAAAACTTGTAATGTGAAACATCTAAGTACAAAATTTCATCGAAATCGTTACGATCCGCAAAAACGCAGTTCTGCATTTTGATTTTAATCGATGATAGATGTAGAAGTCTATGAGCCACAGGATCTATTAACCATGTGGGATGTGTGTTCGCTTGTCAAAATAAAATATATTTGCAGAAAACTATGGAGACCTTGACGCGGGTACTTGCGCGGCACGTGTATTCGCTGGAGCTGTCAGAGAGCGGGGGTGCGGCGGGCGGGGCGGGGGACGCGCGGGGCCGCGGCGGGCGGCGCCCCACGCCCGCGCCCGCGCCCCTGCCTCGCCCCCTGCCCCGCGTCCGCCCCGCGCTCATGGCAGCAGACGCTCGCACACCAGGTACGTTGGCCACCTGCTCGATTTAACGACAGTTTCACAATTGAAATCCAAATATGAATCGTTGGGTTCGCCACATTTATTTGCGGGTAAATAAATGAACCAAGTACTAACTGGCTTAATTTCATTAAGTAGTAATTTAAAATTACATTTTTGTTCAATAAAGACGAATGGGGGCTAGGCGAAAAAAGTGTAAGATTTTTCCGTCACGACCCTCTTTCTATAGTGCAAGCGTAATGGAATAATATCCATCTCCCTCGCACTTTTTCTTATCTTGCTATAAATGAAATATTATTTTAAATGACGCTTCTTTTTAATAGACTAGTAATTCATTTATTTGTATTTATCGTGTATTTGTATATAGTCAATAATATAATACATTTATCAATAAAAATATACTACGAAAGAAACTTGGTTTCAACCGGGTGCTCCACGACACTCACGTATGTTTTTTTTATATTTATTTAAATAATGTGCGTTACGAAGGAATCCGAAAAGAAACCATAATATTCTAAAAGATGTTATTACTTTCATTTCACTGTCCGATTTTCAAACACAATAGTAAGACAATATCAATGACCTATATTATGTAGTACACGGTACAGCGAAAGGATTAAGTTGCAGTTTGACTTCAAGTAAGTTAAAGATGTGTTACTATATTGCCCTCGTGAACTACACAACTTTAGTTAGACCAGGCTGTTGCACCTGTATGGCACAACCGTTACTCGTTAACTTGTTACCAAGTTGACTTTCTTCAAACATTGAAACTATATAAATTTTATAAAATCAATGTTAAGACATACGCCAGTTATGTGACTTAACTTTGAGACATGCCATTTCTATTCATTTTTATAGTCTACTAGCGTTAACGATAGCAGGCCTCTGTCACTCTTGCTACCTGCGTGAAATAATTACCTACATTCGCGAGCTGCCCCAGGGGTAGATTGCAGTCGGGGCTAGCGCGCTCTTTACGATTAAATGATAAAGTTTTATAACGCTGTTTACATAAATAATTTTTTGTAAATACTTCTTGAAATACTCGTCGAAATAGTTTTTGTTTAGTGTTTAATATATTTAATTGTAGGATAAAATAGTTGAAAAGGTTTTAATGTAATTTAAGAATAATATATATGTATATTACCTATCTATTTGATAAATTATAATAGCAATATGTCGTTCCTACTATAATTGTTGCGGGGATGAATGCTTAATGAGCAATTAAAAGGATTCAGATATATCATTTTTTGAGTTACCGAAGGATAATGAAAGGTAAATTTATTTCATTTTTTGTTAGATAGGTACTTATAGCGAAACAATAATTAAGTCAAGGTAACAACTAGAATGACGTCTGAAGATATCGCGTAAATACATGTAATAAATAAAATAAAAACATACAGTAAAATTGAGATCCTCCCCTTTTTAAGTTGGCTAACAAATCTCTTATGCAGGTATCGTTGAATCGATATTTTTCTTAGCAGTACATCGCTGTTGAGGTCCAACATTTTAAATATCCTTACTTCTAAAGATAAAGATAAAATTAAATAAGATAAGATCCGCGTCATAAAATAATTTTATGTGTTTTACCTAGTTTGAACCTCCCGCCCTCCCTCAATTGCGTGCACTATCCCTGTCACCACTAATCCCAACACCACTACTCCCAGTGCCATTCTCAGTGTCTTTCCTAGTGTTGTGGTGCAATAGGAAGGACACACCATTGTCGATAATATGGAAAATAGAAGAGAAATCAAATCGGCGGATCCTTACTCTATTAACTGAATAATAAAACAAGTTTATATGCTCGAGTCTAGATGAAGGAAACTACATGTAACTATTTTTTTTTATTTCACTTAGGAAAATCACCGCGCACTGGTAGTGATACTCATGGACGCAAGGAAACTGTCCGAGGTCGGCAGTTGCATCGCTGCCGAAGCGATCCGCACATTGCAAGGCACACGCAACTTCATCTGCACGTTGTTACAGGTAAGCTTATTGATATTATAATGATTTCTTTTGTACCTAATTACAAACTTTCTTTCTTTTGTTTATCAGTCCGTAAAAGGCCTCTCCTGTTGTAGGCAGCATTTGCCTTGATCGTCAAAGTCCCAGATCCCAGTACCAACTTCTCGCACCTTTGTGCTGCCGGTCACCGGTTTAAATATTTTACGTCTGTTGTAAACTAGATGTTTCTATCGCCATATATCGGAAGCCATAAGATTTTTCTAGAATTTACCATTATTAAAACTAAAGTAAAATCTTAAATCTCCTGATACCATAGCAAACCAGATTACCTATTTTATATTTTTGGTCCAACCTACGCAGAATGAATTCATAGTATCTTGAAGTCTTGTAATGATATGGTTGGGTTTGGATTTAATTTTATTGACCATAGAAGCACAAGCTGATGATGGGACCCAGCAATTTTCTCTATTAAAATTGGGATGCTTAAATTTCAGTAGTCTCCCAAATTATTTTAGTTGGGCTTATTATTTTTCTAGAGCATTTCTGGTCAGTCAAATTGAAACCTTAATTGAACATAATGAAAACTGTAAAATTACTTTTATTATAATACTTCTTAAATTGAGCTAAAACTTTAATGCTATAATATTAAACAGTTTGCATCAAACAATGCTCTGCAAGCCTATTTGGTAACTTCGTTGATATGAAAATGATAGTCACCTTATTTAGTACATTGCGTTATTATGCTTTCCTATAAGTATATCTTTTAGTATAGATTTTCTATAATAAATAAATAGCGTTACCACGGCTCATAATACATATGAAGCAATGTACTATATAGTGACTATTATACATTTTGTAGGCTAATTGCTTACTTATATTTTTCGATACTATGATTTCAAAGACTAACACCGGGCTGGGTGTATTAGTTTCTTATAAAAAACTTACAACTTAACTACTTTACTTACAACTTTTAATTTATTTTCTTGTTTTTTAGTGGAAGAAACCAAAGAACAAACCAACACAAAACCAAGAAGATGGTACTCATTGGATTCCTTAAGGCAGTCATCACATCACGATGAAAGGGATTCCGCTAGTGGTAAATTTGCCTATTTATAATGTCGAGTAGAATTGTATAACATATTTTTAATGTGTCTACCTTTTTTTCTAGGTTCTCGCTCCCCTTCCCCGGCGCCATCTAGCGGAGTTGAGAGTAGCTCTATTAAAGACTCCCCATTACAAATAGATTTAGCTTCAGATGGCGGTAATGTTGGTTAGTATATTTATTATTTATTTTCTGATTATATTAAACAAACTATTACATACAAACTATATAATATGGAAATCAGAAATCAGTCTGCTCTCAATTATTAAAAAGTTGCATAGTGTAATTAAATATGTATTATGACATAAGTATATGTCATATTTGACATTTAGTTATGAAAAAATATTGATTTATATTGCACATGACATTTACGTTAAAACATTAGAAATGTTTATCTATTGTACTATGTGTACTGTAATTTTGTCTTTCTTCATTGCCTCAACGTGTAGCGTAAGTAGGCACAGCTGCATATATTTTATCAGTGGTAGAGCCACGCGGCAGCTTTTGCTTTCGCACGGATGGGCCGGTTCCAACCGGGGTAGTACCACGACCTCACAGAAAACCGGCGTGAAGTAGAGGTTTACCTCTGCGTTTCGCTTGCTGAGTGCAGGTGGCCGGAAGCCCTTTTTACTGGAAATGAGGCATTCCATCTTAGTCCTCACGGGTGACAACGCATCTACATTTTGATTTGTAACAGAGGATAGATGTAGATGTCTATGGGCCGCAGCAACCACTTACCATCAGGTGGACTGTGTGCTCGTTTGTCACCCTATCCTATAAAAAAATAATGCTATATTAGACTAGATTTATTATAATGACCACAATTGCTAAGCTTACTATAGTTTGAATTAATATTTTTAATGACAAAGGAGCTTGGAATGATGTCATGATGTTCAACACCAAGCTATGTGACCTAACTATTGGCAGTATAAATACATAATATGAACTTACACAATTGGTTATTAAGAGATAATAATTGTAAGTGGTGCCATGGGAAATTATGTGTTTTTTTTTTGGAAACTGTCTGTAATTTTTGTTTTTCGGAAATATATAATACAATCATTGAGTTATAGGTACTACGTACTAGAGAAGCCATTCCAAACAGAAATTGTGTCCTACTCTATGTCTTCGCGCATGCGCGGGAGTAGTAGTCGCGCATGCGCGAAGACTAATTTGATATAAAATAAATATAAGAATTTAATATAAAATATCTTAATTTAATCTAAACAAACATATTTCTAAATAAAATGTAATAATAATTATTTTATTGAATTCACAAATCTTCAATTTACGCAATATTTAGTTTGTATGGATTGCACTACAGTTCAGTTGAACATAGTCAATGTTCGGAATGGCTTCTCTAGTACGTAGTACATATAACTCAATGAATACAATATATCTCAGCGTGTGTCATGTTCTCTTGGGTATGCCATGTTAACTTAAAGGTATATGCTTTGCTGCGGCGTCATTTAACTAATCGTCCAATTCCCTTTAGTATGGTCGAGGAAGGCCGATGGCTACCAAATGCGTCATACTTGTGAATAGGTGCTGCTTGTGTAGGCTGGTCTGCTCTGGTTTTCTATGCAATGATGAGTTCCAAATTTTTAATTTTTTTTTTGAGTGTATCGTAGAATATGCTTCAGTTACATTTGTCATTGTTCAGTTATATTAACTTTTAAAAAATGACAAAAGGATGATACCTGAGGTGTTTCTTTCGCTGTTTTTTTCTGTTCACAGAAATTCTCATTTCGAAAATTAAATTTAGTTGATTTAACTAAAATGACAGTTGTCAAATGAAATTTCATTTTTTTACTTCTAAGAAATAAATATATTTCATGTCATCTTTGGTATTCCTATTGGCACCCGTAAACTACGTATTTAATATTACTTTCTCTTGCTGAACTGAAATTTTCCTTCTGGCATGTACAAAAAGATAAAATCGCCATCTATGACGGTACGGGGAGCGACAATGTAACTAATTCCTTTTACAAATTACATACATACATGCATAAAGACTCACGCCTGTCACAGGTTAGGCAGAGACTACGGACTTCCATTTGGCACGATCCTGACACAGATTACGTTATTTAATAATGATGTTTTTGAAAAACTACATTTAATTTATATAGGGTAAACAGTACTAATGTTGGCACTCTTACAATGATTGGCACTTTGCTATTTTAATCTGAATATTAAGAATGTTTTCCTTTTTCTATATCACAGCTACACAGATATTGCTAAGATATATAATTACTTATACTAACAATACACATTTATATTTAAACCGTCAACTATTTTCCTATAAGGCCTGTTTATAAATGTGTGAGGACAAATCCGTCAAAATTTAACAAAAAGTTAAAGTTTTGTGGTTAGATTTTGAGACAAAAATGTGATTTTTAGGTAAGTTTATATGCAAGTTTCTGTCTATTTTAATCAATTAACGTCATTAAAGCATATTAAATGTTATTTTATCGTTGTGAAATAGAAGCATCGGTTTTTTTTAATTGTGCCAATGACTATACTTTGTTTGACTACATAATCATTGGCATATATGACTTCCAATGGTGCCAATGATTATACTTAATTTACAGTGCCATTCACTATGCTAAAGTGCCAATGATTGTAACATTCACTAGAAAAAAGTTTAATTAGATTTTTAACTTAATTAAACATTTATTTTTAAACGTAATGCGTTATTTTATTTATGGCTATCTTAACTAAAATCCAACAAAACAATAAAAAATATAACAAATTTATTTATTTACGAGAATTAACCACTTACAAGTAGAAATCCGCTTAAAGTGCCAATTATTATACTGCTTACCCAACGTTGAAAAATAAAAGTTCTGTATTTCCCTTAACCTATCATAAAATTTTCAAAACGGGTGTATATTTATTAAATAATTTATTGGCATTTTACGATAAGTAGCTGCCTTAAATAGGTTTTCCATTTAATGTTAGTGTATTATTTTGAATAATGTTATATTGTTATAACCTGTGGGTGTCCTTACACAAATAACAGAATGGGCGGAGAGCGAGAACGGTTCGGTGGAGGGCGGGGCGGCGGGGGCGGCGGGGTCGGGCGTGGGCGTGGTGCTGGGCGGCGCGGCGCGCGGCTGGCTGCCCGCCGTGGCGGCCGTGCTGTGGCGCCGCATGCTGGCCGCGCTCGGCGACCCCAACCACCTGCGCGACCCGCACACGCATGCGCATTTCTACAACTACCTCATACACCTCAACTCCACGCTCCTCAAGGTCACTCTTCATTCGTTCATGCATTCATTTTATGTTTTTACTAGCTATCCGCTCCGGCTTCGCACAAGTGATTTCTGGATCTCGACAACAATGCCACCTACTGGGTTCAATTATGAATCCAAACTATCCAAGGACATACTGGAATTGCAGCAATTTATTTTCATGTTTAGGGATTTTATAGAATATGCCAAACGGGCACTCAGTCCACCTGATGGTAAGTGGATGCTGTGGCCCATAGACATCTACATTTATCCTCGATAAAAAATCATAATGCTGATGCGTTTTCACCCACGAAAACAACTAAAAGGGTCTCCGGTTCTCTACACTCACCAAACAAAACACAGCATACAGTTCTTTCTTCTTTAGCAGAATTTTACAATCTCTTGCTGAATAGAGAACCCCTTTAAACTTTTTTACTTTTTACTTTGTAAGGTTTGCTACACTCACCTAGATAGACGTGTAGAGGAAGATTTTCGGGGCATCCTACATACTAATAATTAGAAATAACTCCCTATTAGTAACTACTAGTTCCCCCAGCTAGGTAAATAATCCTAATTATAATTGAAATAACTTAAAGTAACTTGGATATTAAACCAATTTTAGGAGTTTCTATCATTCTTATTTCTTTGTGCATGTATGTTTAATTCAAATCTTACAAGCCAGAGAAACTCTTCAAATCTATATATACATATAGATACATACATATATATATATATATATATATATATATATATATATATATATATATATGTATATATATATATATATATATATATATATACTAGGTTACTTTTTTTACCGTCTGGAAAATGATATGGTGTTTTGTGTAAGTGGAATAGAAGGTATCCTCGAAAGTATTTGTAAAATATAACTAATAGGATAAATTTCCAAATATCCAAAAAATACATAAAAACAGTTCATCCTACGGCATTTGTGTAAAACTAAGTATAAGTGATATTAAACGCTGTAGGCTACGAAAATTGTAAGCGCTATAATGAATTTATAAACATTTTCTAATAATAATGTTTACGCCTAACGTATACTGCAACATCTTACGCGTATTTAAAAAATTCTAAATCAACTTGTTTACAAACTACACTGATTGATTTTTACAAGATTATACTATATTATTTTTATTTACAAAAAAAAACCTTTTTAGCGATATCGTAGTAAATGTTGAAAATATCCATCGTTTCTTTCTAAACACAAACTAGCACGTCTTTGTAAATTGTTTGTTAAACTTCGTAGCGTGTCTATCACTATTTATCATATTAAATGCGTCTATTATGCGCTGCTGTAAATCACTAACACTTTATGCTTCTTCTGTGTAGTGTGTACACTAATCATTTTAGTTCGGCCCACAAATAAAAGTCTAGAAGTGTTAGGTCTGGTGATCTCGCTGGCCAGTTCACAAGGCCCATCGCGACCTATCCACCTATCACAGGCTGTTCAGATATGCACGCACAGATCGTTAACACTGAAACGAAGCATGTTCTTTGATTTTGTATGGGTTTTGGAAACTCCACCAGCGCTCATTGTACACGTTATAAATTCCAACGCGGGTAAATATCGACTCATCTCTCCACGACAAAACTCCTTGCGTGGTCCGGGGTCCGGCGCTTGCAAAGCTTGCACGCGTGAGAAATGGTATGGATGCATATTCATTGAATGAAGTTGCTTCCATACCACATACTTGCTTATGCCAAACCAACGAGCGGCTTACCGGGTGCTTCTTCTCGGGTGTCGTTGGAATCAGTCCAATATGACGTCTTCAATGTGTCTGGAGAAGGGTGGCCGGCCCCTGACTCTTGCATGGCTGGGGAGCCGGAACTGGCCATGATCACGCAAGTGCTGATACATTAAATCAGTTCTGGGAATTTGAGGAGCAGGGATACCGCCCCTGTGCAACGATTGCAGGTGTTTTTCTTCTGCGTACATTCGTCTCGCAACGTCTAAGTTTCCACCAGACAAGACATAAAATCTCACCATTGCTGGGTCCTCGACAAGAATATTGTTACATGTTTACGATAACTATCAGCGGAAGGCCGATTGTAACGTGTAAAAATTTTATATTTTGTTAATTATAAAAAAATTATCACTAAAATATTGGCGCGCCGTCGTTTCTATGTTTTGTCCGATCGGTGTGTACGCGGGCGAAGGGCGAGGGGTAGGAGACAAGCACAGTGCTAAACGAGAAAGTGATAGCCAAAGGAGATAGCTGCGACCGACATCGACGTCTCACGTCGTCGTCCTTGTTTTATTTTATCCTCAGATCTTTAACACAGCCTTGTGTACTTATAGTCAATTCTTCTAAATATTTTACTTTAAAAAATATAAATCTTACCGTTTTTAAGGTGATTCCCGTACTGGGAACTCCCTCTGGACTGATTTTGTGAACAAGGGACGGGAGACAGCTGAGCTCACTGAACGGCAGCTGTCGTGATTTAATATTGGATGCACGGCAGTATCTTCCTACTGAACAGAGGCAGACTAGTATCGTTGTGAGGGCAATTAGATCAAAATCAATAATATTAACCGACCTCCGACCCTGAGTGTATAAAGTATATTTCATTACGAGTGCGGAAAGGCTGTCATTGCAAAGAGTTCCAACAAATGTCTACCCGAGCCGAGGCGCAGCCGAAGGTGAAGGTTGACAGTCGTAACAAGTTGCAATGACGGTTCCGCGCGTGTACTGAACAACTATTTTTAATACAGTTGCGAAAAAATGAAGCCATTTAATAAAGAACATTTTTAGAAAATGGCGCCAACCGTAAAAGAATATAAGCAGAGATTTTTTTGTTTTTTTCAACCATTCTGGGTAGGCAAAGGAAACTATGCCCATACAGCCAAGTCTTCATTAGAATTTTCTTATTGATATGAAATGAAAATTTAATTTAATGATATGAAATGAAATGAAACCTTACCTAACTCATTAAATCTGATATTGAAATAAATTAGTAGCTTCTTTTTAGAAATATTTGCATGAATCATAAAAACTTCTATGAATTTTTTTTAGTAGAAACTTCGTGGTTGGTTTTTTCTTTTTAATAGACATTATTTAGACAGTTGGGAAAGAGAACGCACGAGTTCGGAAAAGGTAAAGAAAAAGCTCGAGTATGTGATAGCCCATATCCCGAACGCTATACGTCCCTGCAATACGCCAATTTTTGAGCAACTGTATTAAGAAATAAATTCTTATTATTCTTTACTCTTATTTGTTGTTTTACTTCAACTAAAATAAAACGTAACACGATATACACGTGGAAACATAAACAATACGACGTCACGCCGTGTCTAATCGCAGGTGACAGTAAACTGAAATGAGAGCACATTCTATAAAACTGAAATGAGAGCACAGTCTATAAATCCATACAGTCGTCCGACGAAGACGTCTAGACAGGGCAATCGTGCGGGGTGTGAGGGGCGAGACGCGGGAAGGCCGAGCCCGAGCTGCTCATGCCAATCGTATTAGTAGCTCGGGACACGACTTCCATTAATATTCCATAATAATAATTAAAATGGTTCATACGACGTGTGCTGTGAGAGATTGCAAGTCATCATCTCGCATAAATAAAGATCTGCGATTTCACCAAATCCCGCACACGGAAGAAAGGTAAATAAATATTGTTATTATTTTTACATTATGTATATTTTGTCATGTCACGTTAAATTGCCAACGTAAAAAAATGGCGGACGTAAAAAATAGGTACTAGTCGCTGGGCATTACTGTTTTGAAGTTTGACTTTTTTTCTTCATCTAAATCGTGTATTTGGACAGGCTAAGGTTTAGACCATACTATAGTGCCTCATCTTCGGTCTTTCGAAGTATTTTATAAAATATTAAGATGAAGAAGAGGTCAATTTTTAGGTTTGTCGGGGTGCTAATTACGAAAATAGCATTTATTTTTAAATCCAAGATGGCGGTCATTTTTTAATATATGTATGATATGGATGTCAATTTCAAGGTTTAATGGGGTGATTGATGATTACGAAAATGGTATCCATTTTTATATCCAACATGGCGGACATTTTTTTCTAATATGATATGGGTTATCAATTACGAGGATTCTTGAGGTGCTGATTACGAAAATGGAATTCATTTTTAAATCCAAGATGGTGGACATAATTTTTTTTAATGTTATGGATGTCAATTTCGAGGTTTCTTGGGGTGCCAATTACGAAAACGGCATCATCATATCCAAGATGCTGATTTTTTTTTAATAATACAATATGGATTTTAATTTTGAGGTTTCTCGGGGTGATAATTATGAAAATTTATTAATAAGTTTTGTATTTAAAAATTTCAAATGCAAATTATCGATGGAAGTTATTGGAAGACCTGATTTTGTTGGAAGAATTTTCGAAAGCCTAAAGAATCAATTATAAAATAAACTAATAATTCAATGTCTGTAGTCGTTGTAACGTTAATAATAATATGGATTTGATGTCTAGCTAAGAGTATTGATGAGAGATTTTATGTAGCGAAATTGAGGTATGGCCACATATCGAGAGTAGAGCACTCCCTTACGTTGTGAGACGCGCAATTAACGTTTTGAGTACTTTCAGGAAAAATCTCATAACAAATTGTTACTAATTTTTTATATTAGTAATCATACTGTTGATGACGATGTAGATCTAAAGTAAATAATTAAATTAGTAAAAGTTGTTAATTTGTGACAACCCTAACCTCCATACGCTATATAGACGTTGTCGGCATTTACCACGAGATCAAAGGCGTCGTCCTACTGTATGTTTATTATACTGTGATGAGAGTGCGGAGCGTAGGCGGGTAAGCGCTGGCGGCTAGCAACAAAGAGGCGGTGTGTCGAGTTTTGGTTGTTCTTAATGAATAGCATCGCGTTACAAAATCATTGATATTATTGCCGCTCGTGAAGTGGGGTCGGTATGATTTGAATTTCGATAGTTTTTAATTGATTTGTTTATATATTTCAAAACTTTTGTTTTATTTTTTCATTGATAGATCAATTTTATATTTAAAAA